TAGCAAAAAAAAAAAAAAAAAAAGAAAAAAAGAGTCTTGACTCAATGTGGTGTTGTTTATGGTCAGAGCATTCCCAGGCTACGGGGACAGAGCTGGAGCCTGGGTGGTTTCCCTTTATGGACTTGTTTGAGGACAGATGGTGAACAGTGCTTGCAGGGACTGGGGCTGAGGCTGTCCTTTGGAAGACAACCGTGTCACCTGGTGCTTGAGCCTCAGTTTTCCTTCATCCTTCCCTTGCTTTATTTCTAATGGCTCCTGCCAATGCTGGGTGCAATTCTCAAGTGGCAGGGCACATAGCTGGGCAGAGGAGCTGTCTCTCTTTCTTTCCCCACAAAGGGGGAGCCCACCAGGCAGCCAGGGTCCTGGTTGCTGGACACTGGCTTTGATGTGGCTGAAAGATGACAAGGAAAGACCTCAATACTAACAGTAGGCTTGTAAGTGGTGGGAGGCGACAATGCACACCACAAAAATGATTGTTGCCTCTCAGTTTTACAGGGCCCCTGTTCACATCACAACGGAATAATTTCAAAGCACACCGATAAGCATCCTGGAGCGTCCACAGCTCCCCTTGAAACAGTACCGTACCCAGGTTGTTCCCAATCGTCCAGGTCTCATCATAGTCAAAATGGACGTCTCCCTCCCGGTGTGTCTTGGGGAAGAATGCGTGTGCCAGGATTCCTCCGGGCCCATCAAAAGGCAAGTTGTCTCCATGCCAGTACCTGGAGGGAAGACACGTTGCACCTCAGACAAACTGTCACGTACCTCCAGTGAACAGCGTTGTATGGCCGAAGGTGGGGAGCCACTGCGAGGGGACAGCAGCTCTCACTCCCATCCCATGTTCATCCCACCAGTCCAGATCAACTGCTCGGAGCCCTTCTGATTGCCACAAACCCACTTCTGAGGAAGCAGAGCTTGGTCACACCAAGCATTGAGGAAGCAGAGCTCGGTCACGCCAAGCCCTGGGGAGTTCGTACGTTTTCTCAGGGATGTTTCTCTCCTCCCCCTGTTCAGCTGATCATGGAGCCTAAAGAATTAAGGAGATGACTGCTCAAGCCAAGATTAAGTCAACATAGCTGAGTGGTGGGGGGATGCGGAGGGGCAGCCGGCAGCGAATCCAGCCAAAACCTCAGGTCCTCGCTCAAGCCAAGCCCACTGTTGAGTAATGAAGGTAACCCATGAGAGACATGGCCACTTTAGAGAGCTGAAGGAGGCACAGGCAAATACACAGCATGCAAATTGCATCACTGCTTGGATGGTCTCCACTGCCTTTATTAGTTCTGTGCAAACACGCAGCAGAGGGAAGTCTTTGCCCCCATGCGTATTTTGCCAAAAGTGAATTTCAGGCCAAGAGCCAAGATTCATTTAACCAAGAAACTGTATTTGTCTTTGGGCAGACAGTTACGTTGATCAGTCAAGGGACAGGATGGAGGACCTGAAGATGGAAAGTCAAAACAAATGCTTAGGAAAACAGTCTGTGGGCAGAGAAACGTAAATATACCAGGAAAATTAATGAATGATCAGTAACAGTACTGTGCACCGCCAGCATGGAACAGCTGCACTTACACCAAGCAGCCCACAACTGACAAAAAAAAACAAACCCCAAAACATCCGTGTCTGAAAGCAGAAGTGAACCTCCATTTAAGTGCCTAACTTGTGTGCTGGCAGTTCTCTGCTCTGGTTAGAGGCTTGGGGTCTTGCGTGGAAGGTTGCTTCTCTGTCTGGGAGGAGGGTGCTGCTGCCCACCATGCTCACCTTGTGAAATCGATGACGATGTCAGCCCGTCCCTCCTGCACCTCAGTGAAGGTCAGCGGGGTCACATCACTCCACACTTTCAAAGCTTCCTCGATGGTCCTTCTTACTTTAGCTTTTACAAGTTGCCATGGGAACCTGATAATTCTGAAAGGCAATGGACACTGGATGAGGAGAGCATCAGCCGCTGTCCCATGGACACTGCTGTCGTGAAGACACTAGCTGTAGGATCAATGTCACTAGGGCTGCCACTCTCTCTCAGCACCAGAACGTTTCCAATCCATACAAGCACTGCCCCGGCACCCTCTTCCAAGCAACATGTGCAGCAGATAAATGCCATTAGTATTGAAACCCTCTGGCTGGTGGGCCCAGAGGTGAGCTCTCTGGAGAGCTTTGCAGATCTGTGTTTTCCTGAAGTGCTGCAGCATTTCCCAGGTCTGTCTCCTGTGGGTCCACCCCCACAGAGGTGCCTGGGAGTGGTGTGATGTGATTTCTCCTCCTTAATCTCTGCATTTTTTGCCCCTGGAAACCTGGGCTCACTCAGAGCAGCTGCTGCCTCTTCTGCCCTCCTATAACATAAGCAGGCTGTAAGGTCTGCCACAGATGGAGCTTTCTTTCCCTTAACAGTGTTGGTGTGTGTTCATCTCTGCTGTGTTTCTTTCTTTAACATTGTTACCAAAAAAAAAAAAAGAAGCCTTTCTGTTATCTACAGGCCCCTAACACTATGAGGAACTGTCTCCTGCATTTAATTAAACAGAAAATGATTTACATGCTGTCAAGGTCCATACAAGTGTGCTCACTTCTCCACTCATGCCCCTGTGGGCAACTGGGGAGGCAGCACAACCCTCCCGCAAGCCTGTTGAGCAGATTTGCAATTGAGAATGTGTGGGGTGATTTGGGCAAAACTTTACACTGAAGTCGTGTTTATGGGAACATCAATAACAGCTGAATAAAAAGGTCTTTTTAAAATAAACTGTGAGGTGAGCCCACAGCGGGGTGGCTATAGGGGCAAAGGTACAGCACGAGAGGACTGGTGTTGGAGGCTCGGCTCGGCACGTGTCAGGGGTTTGATGTAAGGAAGTGATTGTATGTGCACGGGGGTGTTGATGCGGGACTGAGCGAGGGGTGATGCAATGGCGGTGCAGAATGCGTTTGGGCAGGGGTGGGTGGGCAGCTGTGTTTATGGGAGGGTGTGCATGAGGGGATGTGGAGGCGCTGGGTACGACTCTGCTGGTGGTTCAGCATGTGGCTCCCCTGCCCCCTGGCTGCCCTCCAGCTTTTACGGTCACATCACAGCGTGCCGCACTCCAGGGAACATCAGACTGAGAGGTTTGGGGAGGGAGAAGCAAACCAGCCTGACTCCCGTTTTCAGGCCTCTCTTACTTGTAGGTGAGATCGGTCTTGTCCCAGCGTCCACCGGAGAGGACAAACCGCTTCTGCCGGTTCCGCCCGTTCTGGCCATCTGGCAACACTGGGAGGTCCGGCACGCCACAGCGCGGTGGGTTCCAGCGTGCCACCTGCTCATCCGCACCCACCGGGAAGCCCTTGGCAGGCACACCGGTCCCCACAGCATTCACCAAGGAAGACAGCCAAGGACTCTGCTCCTTCCAGGTGTGATGCTTTCGAGACATGTCCTAAAAGGGAAAAGCAAAGCCATGACTTCAGTGTCTGGGAAGAGACATCCTGATGCAGAGCGGTGAACATCTGCCCACAGCAGTCCTGCAGTGGTGAGTTCCTCTGCCTGGGGCTGTTCCCCCACTGCTAGGGCACTAACTGCTCCCCACAAACATCCTCCGTTCCCTGGGCTCTGCTGCTCTGAGGCCAGGTCGCACCTGGGAGGCACTGTGTCATGCCATGGCACCCCCTAAGCACTGGGCTATTTTTGGTCCACTTTTCCTTGGCGGCTGGCCGGCAGGAAATGCTTTTGCAAGCAGTGGATGAGAACCAGACCCTTCAAGAACGAAACAAATCACTAGGGAGAAAATTCTCCCCCTTTGCCCCAAATCCTTTATTCCCTCCTGGCCCTGGGTAGAGGTGATATTAATGGGAGGAAGGCTTTAGTTCCCAGCACACAGCTGTGCTCCCTGCTGTTGCTTCCATGGTGTCCCCTTGCTGTCCTGGCGTGGTGGGCAGGCTCTCAGCATGGCTAGGGAACATCACAAGCTGGAGAGCAGGACACATGGGCCTGGGGGGTGACTTAGCCCAGCCCATGGGGCAGAGAGCAGCAGTGACTGTCCCTGCAGCCCCTATCACTGCCTGAGGTCACCGATTCTGCAGAGTGAGGCACAGGACCATACACCCCTGCCTCACTGCGCCTGTGACTCTGCTTGGGGATAAGATCACCTGGGCTCTCCCACACTTATTTGGAAAAGCACGGTTCCTCTTGGCAATGTAAATTAACGCTAATTAGCTGCCTTCCATTGGTTTCCCACCTGACAGGAGGACTATGGGGCCACCATGACATGACCCAAGCGTAATCCCCAACCTGCTGTGAGGCATGTGGGGTGAGAGACGCTTGGTCCCTGCATCACCATGCAAGCCAGAGGACCAAATGCGGACTTTTTTGCTTGATTCTGTGCAGGCAAATTTAAAGGTGTTTGAGCAGCAGGAGGAGCTGAGATGCAGCAGTGATGCATCTCTACTCAGACTGGCAGGCTCTGTCCCACAGGCCTCCAGGGCTTTAGGGGTCCCCTTCCTTCCCCTGCAAAGAGCTGCCTTCTTCCAGGCCAGCTCTCCTGGCTGCCCTGCCGGGGACACAAAGGTCAGGATGGCATGATGCCAGAGCTGCCATGATGCCGTGTAATCCGCGTGCTGCCGCCACTCTGTTCCCTACAATGAGCCCATTCATGCAGGCTGGAATGAAGTGTGAAGCCCTTGGCATTAATTCTGCTACTGAGCTCCCAACTCTGCAGTGGCCCTGTGCCTCTGAGCGATGCACAGATGGAAAAAGGAGCAAGGGAGGTCACACAAGGTGCAGTTTAGGTGTCCGGCTTTTCGTGTGTCTGTCACCACTCCAGCCTGCTGGCTTGTCCTCCCCAGCCAGACGGACAACCTTGGTGGCTTGGCACCTGCCAGCCTTTGCCTTAGAAACCATCAACCCAATCCTGGTGTCCCAGTGCACTTTCACACACCACAGGAACTGCACCATCAACACATGCAAAGAGAGAAAGCCATTTTACATCCTGAAGAGCAAAGCCTACCCAAGCCAGCAGCCATAGCACTAAGAATCCATCCACTGTTTTAGTGGAAGGATGGAGTACGAGCTGGCCTGTCCCAGGGGATTCTGCAGCAGGCTGCTCTTGCTGAATGCTGGAGCCCTGCCTGGTCAGAGGTACCTGTCTCTCTAAGAGGAGCTCTCTGCAAGCTGCCTGACACCCTGCCTGAGCTGGCAGCTAGCATCTGTGAGGGACAGCTGGCAGGAGGAGCTGATAAGGTTCATGTCCTGGCCAACACCTTGCTCCCAGCCCTGACGAGACCCTCTGCCAAGCATATAATGGCAGCTGTGTCACCAAAGCCCAGCCTGGAGGGCCACTCGGTTCCTTGCTCCTGGGTGCGCTCAAGCGCACCCACTGCCACCAAAGGCAGGTCCTGTCGCCCGAGGACATGCGGTGATGAACGTGTCTGGTTTCCCAGGACCAGGAGGTGCAGGACAGCTACTCCAAGGCACATGGGGAGAGCAGAGATGGACCCTGGGGAGAGCCCTTGCTGTGCAACTGGGAGCACTGGGAAACCCTCAGTAGCTGCCCAGGTAGGTGAGCAGGCTGAGGCTGACCCAGATGGGCTTGCTGCTGTTTTTTTGTCTTGCCTATGTGCGCGTGCGCGCGCGCACACACACACACACACACCCTGCCCCGGTCTCCTGGGAAGGCCAGTTGTTGCCTTACCAGCTGGGGGCACTGGCATAAACTGGAGATTATCACTTTCCTCCAAGCAGGAGTAGAGAGAGGAGGAACTGCCTGTTTTCTTCTGGCCCCAAGGGATTCCATGTTCAGAGGCAGACCAGAGGTAGGTTTTCTCTCTCCTCTTTGGTTACCTCAAGGCCACTGGCCTGAATCCCAGCTTCCAGCCATCCAAACCCCACCCTGCCTTAGGCAGGAGCCTCCCTGCCTCTGCCCGCCTGCCCTCTGCTGAGACCGGGCCCTGGGTGGGGATACAGCGTGACCCTATGAACGGCACTGGGTGGAAGCAGGAGGCAAGACCTGCCCTGCTGCCCCGTGTGCTCACTGTGCCCCTAGACAAACAGCGAGTCTCTCCCTGTCGTCACTCCACCGACATTAGCACCATGGCAGGAAAGGGCTGGAAAATGCCACTGCAGGCGCAGCCAGCAAGGGGAAATGTGACGGGCAGAAACCACTTGCCAAACAATGCTCAGGAGACACGTCAGGCTAGAGATTTCGGTCTCCTTGGCTGGACACACCTCGCTGCAGGCACTTCCCAAGGCTTAGATAATGTGTCCTCTCGTGTCCCCTTGCTAAGGTTGCATCCTTCCCACGCAGCACTGAAGCCACCCTCTCCTGGGGAGATCCTGCTTTGTTCTCCCGAGCTGTGGTATAATGCCCCAACTGTATGCTTAGGGGTTTACTTAGGGCTGTGCTGCTGCTGAAGCTAGTACAGATCTATGAAGAGAGGATGAGGAGGTCACTGGCTGCTGGGTAACAGGGTATCCCCACTTCTCCCATCCCACCATCAGAGGGGAAACGATTACCGAAGACAAAAGCAAAGGAAAATCCCTGCAACCCATGGCAGGCGTTCAGACTAGCTGAGTGCAGAGCCAGATCTGAGCCTCTGGCTAAGGGTGTGCAGCCACTTGCACTGCCCTTCCCAGTATAACCTGCAGTCAGGGGTGGCAGCTGAGCATGGGAACAGACAGGTCTTAGCCAAGGGAAGAGGCCAGCGCTTTGCAATAGAGACTGAGCAGCAAAATCTCTGCACAACACGAGCACAGAGGAGCAAAGCTATACACAAAGAGGGCTGTGCTGCAGGCTGGCCACAGCTCCTCACAAAGAAAGTGCCTCTTCCTGCAGCCTTGTGACCAAAAGGCTGAGAGGGAACAGGAGGGAAAGGACAGATCCCATGGGAGAGCAGAAACCACAGCGGAGGTACAGACTGCCCACTCAGTTCCTCGCAGCTTTATCAGCCCTCAAGTGCTGTGATACAACAGCCATCACTTCTGGGTCTGCTGGGGCCAGATGAACACCGGCCAAGCATCCCAGGAAGTGTCCCAGCCATCCCGAGGAGCCAGGAGCATCTTTAACCTCATTGTGTTGGGCAGCACTCGCTTTCCAGAGCCTCCCAGGAGGAGAAGCAGCCGGAGCAGCACAGTGGAGTATCAGCAACGCTGTGTATAAATAACCTCAAGAGTGAGGCCAGTGCCTGGTACTGACAAAACCAGTGCTCTCCTCTGCCTGGGTCCATCCTCTGCTGCCTGCCCTGAACTTAAACTTGTCTCCTCTGTTGTGTACCTAATTACCTGGGCTCCTGCTTGCTTCTGCAAGGAAAGAAGACCCCTCTCCCCGTCAGACAGGAGCGACTGGACAAGTTACAACGCGAATCCCATCAGTCTTGGATACTTCCCCTGTCACTGGGGGCTGTTTCCTCTTCTGCTAGGGGATGAGCTCATGGGCTTTCTCCCCACCTCCCTCTCCCTTCTATTGCTGCTTTTCCATTTCTCCCTGCTTTCTCCTTCTGTTACTCAGAGTGTTTGTCGAGACCCGGGTGTTTGCTGCCGCTTTGGCTAGTAGCATTATCCTCCTCCCAGCTACAAGCCTGCACCTCGGAGCACTCCTGCGCTTAGTTCGACACATGGGGAAGGAGAGCAGAGATGCCTTCTCCTGCAGTTCTCAAGTAAGACAGTTCTCTCACCCCATTTCTGCCCACTGTCAGGTGGCTGTGTCCCCCAGGGGCTCTGGACACCCTGAACAGGCTGCAGCAATATTCCTGCCTGAGATCAGCACTGTTGTCCTGAGGCACAGAGTACCATGGCCGGCTTTTTGGCCAGCCTGCCTCTCAGCCCAGCATAGATTTGCAGGGGTTGGATTTGAAAGTGCAGCTACAGCTGATAGTTAGTGGTAAAACTGGAGCCAGCTCCACTCTAGTCAGGTTGTGTCCCAGAAGCAGGCTGGCCTGAGAAGGTGCTAATGCTGCAGGCGAAATTTCATGGCAGATACAGATTATGTTTGTAGTCTGGTCACACCCTGGGCTAAGCGTGCTCCTGGTCAAGGCACTACTAGTGAAAACAATGGAAACTTGGTGGAAACAATGCCTAGGCAAAACCACCAGATTTATTGATCCTACCTCTCCCCCAAAAAGGCAGAATTTCCCAACGCCTCTAACTATGAATTCTTTGCTTACACAAAATACTTCTGCTACAGGACTGGGTCCTTCATACTAGGCTGCAGCCTGGTCCCGCTGCAGACAGAGCCTGAGAGAACGCAAGGGCTGAGGCCAAACGTTGGCCAAATGAGGCCAAACGGGAGGTGCCGCAGTGCCTGGCCGCGCATACACAGTTGGAGGTTCCTCTCCACTCACTTCCCATACTCCGTGGCACCATGAAGCACTACCTCCTGGGGCCTGACAGTTTGTTTCCGGAATATTTAGGGGTAGTTGTTGTTGGCAACGAAAAAAGGAAAATGTTTATTTTTCCTAAGCAACGTGGAACATAAAACATTATGGACTGCAAATGTTTATGCCCACAGACAGAATGAGAAGACCCAGGCTGTGATGTAACAAGAGAAAGCAAATGAATAAACACTGCAGGACTATTTTTATTATCAGACACTTTAATTACGTGACAGTTTGTGAGTCTAGTCCATCAACACCACAACCAAGCTGCTGGTGTCACCCAAGCAACAGTTTGCCAGAAACAGGCGTACTTACAAAGCAAACAAGCCCCAGGATGCCAGGATAGCAAAAGGTTTCAAGAGCCCTTAATCTGATGACCTAGAAATTCCCTTGAAACCAAGAAACCGCTCTAGGATGTGACACACTCCAGGCAGAGGAGGAAGGGGGGTTGAAAAGTTTTGTTCATTGTGCAATTACATCCAAACTAAGGTGAGCAATGACCTACCGGTGCCCAGCCCAAGGACAACAGCCAGGATATCTCCCACTGAGTATGGCCACCTGGCTGCAGTGCAGCCTTCTCCAGAGCTATGGGTGGATGTTCTACCCTCGGGGAGTGTATATGCTGCTCAGACGTGCAAGCTGGGATCTCCAAACTCACAACACAAGCACTCTCCCCCTGCCCAAAGTCCTGGAGATGTCTGGGGTTTTTTTTCCCTCTTCGCTAATTTTCACAGAGCCACTTTTGTGAGATGGTGATGTCTCTCCTGCCCAAATTCCACTAAAGGAGAAGGTGCGGTCACCTGTCTGTCCTTGTGGGTCTCATCTGCACCAGGATCTCAGTGAACCTCTAAAAACATGTCTGTGGTCCTCAGTGAATCCCTGAAGTGCTCTGCTTTTCATTTTGCTGGACAGCTATGTGCAGACTCAGCAGTACTTCCATTCACATTACAGGCTGAGCCATCCCCAGTGTAAGAATATCCAGGATCACTTCATTTACCTGTCCATGTATTTGGGATTAGTAGGAAAGAGCTGACAGCGTCTCTGGTGTGAAAAGTCTCTGCAGGACAATTTTTCCACGGAAGATTCTTTTTAAGCAAGACCTACACAGTGCACCCTTCCTCTGCTGAGCCCCCAACTTAAGGTGCCAGGGCAGGATACACATGGGTGAAGCAAGTGAAGTGCAGCATCAGCTGGAGTGAGGGATCCTCCCCAAAGTGTTTTCCTCCTCCCTGCTCTCTTCTCCTTTCCCGGTCCACTTTGCCAGCTGCACACCCCAAGCCTTGCCACACTGCAGGGTGTGCATGTGCGTTGCATGTGAAAGCACAAACACAACAAACCCGCTGGAGAATAACTGCTTACATGTGTCTTGAGTCTCTCCCAGAGCAGAGGATAAACATGCCTAAAATTACCCCAACGCTCACTGCAGTTTTTAAATAGCCAAACCAAAGAGTGCAAATCAAACCCTTCCTGTGGGAGCTGCCTGAGCCCTCAGCAAGACAGGCGACCTCCCGGGCTGCGGGGAAGGCAGCACCATGCTTCCAGCGGGGAACCTGCTGGGTTCAGGGTGAGAGCTACAGGATATGGCTCCCGAGGGATTATGCTGGCAGCTGGGAGGGTGCCCACCACTTCTCCACTGAGAGAGTTTCCCAGCAAATGGACTGACTTTGATTTCCCAGGGGAGCCGAAAGCAATGCAGGAATTCAATGTCTGCGCGTGCACTGCCCCGAGGACTGCAGATCTTTTGTTCTCAAGTTTTACAGTGGACACCAG